TTCTATGTCTCTAAAGTGGACATAATTATTACTACAAGGGGCATTGAAATTATAGAGTAAAAGGTAACACAAAATAATATACTCTTATGTGTTTCGTCTTTGATTGACTTAAGTAGAATAAAGTCAGTTTCATGAGTTGGTTTTGGTTCTTTTAAAAAATTGCTATGTCCCTGAATGACTGCTTTTTCTATATGTATCCCCCATACAGCATCCTTTCTAACTATTTAGGAAATTTACTGGAATTTTTTTAGCTTATTGAGGTATATTTGACAATTAAAGATGGTGTATATTTAAGGTATAGGAGTACAATTTGATGATTCAATATACGTATACATTGTAAAATCATCACCTCAAACTAATTAACCTCACATTGGATAGTTACCACTTTTTCGTGTGTGTAGTGAGAATACTTAAGATCTATCCTCTTAACAAATTTCAAGTATACAATAGAATATTGCTAAATAAAATCACATTGTTTTACATTAAATCTCCAGAACTTATTCATCTTGCATAACCGAGACTTTGTGTCCCTTGATCAACATCTCCCCATTTTCCCTCCCTCCATCTCCTGGTAGCCACCATCCTACTGTCTCTGTGCGTTTGACTTCTTTAAATTCCACATATAAGCAAGATCACATGCTGTGTGTCTTTCTGCATCTGGCTTATTTCACTTAGCATAATGTCCTCCATGTCCACCCATATCATTACAAATGTCAGGGTTTCCTTCTTTTTTAAGGCTGAATAATATTCTATTGTGTGTATTTTATTTATCCAAATGACATGGAGGTTGTTTTTATAACCTGCCTATTGAATAATGCAGAAATAAAGATATCTCTTCATGATACTAATTTCATTTCCTTTGGATTTATACCCAAAAGTGGATTGCTGGATCATAAGGTAGTTCTATTTTTAATTTTTTGAGAAACTTCCATACTAGGAAATGTTTTTAAAGCTATGGAAAGAGTTCATGGCATCTTTCATCAGAAGCTCTCTATCTACACCATAGGGAAGATATAAGTAAAACAAAAAACTTTGACTCAAATTACAGAATAATTCAGCTGTTTTTTAATTGGAAATTTAAAGTTTAAAAAGTAGTTTCTGTATAACTTAAATTGGTACCAGAAGTTTGCTTAGTTAGGAGCTAAATATTAGAGTGATACTCATTTAAAAATATTTGCAAGGTATGTTTTTCTTATTTTTCTGACATTTCATGTGATATCACTGACATAAAATCACAGCAGATGGTCTTTAGTATTTTATTATTTCTTATAAAATCTTGATGTTGGTTCCTGGAAGTAAAACTTGGCAAGTTTTAAAATTGGGGCTGCTCAAACCTTTAAAACTGCTTCAGGTACTTTGGATCTTTGGATGCTTTTTTTTTTTTTTGCAACTGCAGTGTTTAAAAGATACCATTATAGTACTTTAGGTGCATATGTTTGTATTTTGTAGTAAGCAGAGAGATATTGTTATATCTTTGCTTGCTGTTTTTGATCCCCTATGAAAATTGTAGAAGTCCTCCCTTTCCCCTGAACTAGAGTATGGCTATCTAGTCTTAACTTGATTAGCATTCACTATAGTTTCCTTATCTATTCAATAGACTTTAAAAAAATGTTTTAGGGCCAGCCCGGTGGCGCACTGCTACAGTGCGCCGCTTGGGAAGCGCGGTGGCGCTCCCGCCGAGGGTTCGGATCCCACATACAGACCGGCTGCTCACTGGCTGAGCAAGGTGCGGGAGCAACACCGAGGGTTGCGATCCCGTTGCCGGTCCCGGTCCGGTACGGACGCGACACTGAGGGTTGCGATCTGTTGCCGGTCACGAAAAAAGACAAAAAGAAAAAAAAAATGTTTTATATATTTTTTTAATCATTTCCTAAATAGATAAAACATTCTCAAGATTGACAATTCAAACTGTACAAAGGAGCATACAGTGAAAGTCTTCCTAACTTCCCCAGCCATCTGATTCCCTCTCTAGAGGAAACCAGTGCTATCGCATATTTACCTTCCAGACATATGTTTATGTATATATGAGCACATATATGTGTGTATTTATTTCTTCTTTTTATACAAATGGCATCTTTCTGTACTCTTTTATCTTGAGATCATTTCATATCAATCCGTAAAGGCCATCCTTATACCTTTTTGCCGTTTCATGGGAGTCCATTGCAGGATACCTTGTTATTAATCTGTCTCCTACTAGTAGACATTTAATCTATTCCTCATTTTTTGTTGTTATAAGTAGTAATGCATGAATAACCTCGCACATGAATCATTGTGCATGTGTTTGAGCGGTAAGCATATACTATAGATAGATTTCTAACAAGAATTCTGGGTTAAGGGGCAAATACGTTTATAATTACGAAGTGTTAGCAATTGCTCTCTACAGCGGTTCCACCAGTTTATAGACCCACTAAAGGTAACAAAGCCTTGCTGTAGCAGTATGTATTACATGTGACAGACCCAGGTTGAGTTTTAGGAAATCAGTTGAGAAGTGTATCCCAACAAGTGACCTTTTAGAAAATTCCAGTATGCCTTTTTATTCAACCAACTTCTTCCTCCATCTCATTCAAACTAGCAATGATGTGATCAGAAACATTTTAATATTATTCTTAGTAGTGACTAATAGCCTGAAGATTGAAATCATAATAGGTATGGGAGAAGGAGAAGGATTCTAAGTATATTTATGAGAGAAAGAAAGTTTGCCGTAAATGACAGGAAGTTTTTAAACCACATACAGTTAAGGCAATGCATGTATATCATGGTTTTATTTTGTTCTTGTTCAAGAAACTACTTTGTGGTTTAAGTGAGTCAGTGAAGCAAGTAGGTTTATGAAAGACAACTTTCTCAAAGGAAACTGCATGTTGTTATGGAAGAGCTTTGTGAAAATACTTTCTCTGTCTTTTCTGTGCATGCCTACGTATTCTGCATGTTTACATCCTGATACACAAATACCTGTTTACTCCAAGACATTCCATTGTTTTTCTTACTGGGGTTATTAGCATCTTTATATTTCTACAGTCCACAATAAAAGGTCAAAAACTGTTTAATGTGCATTTTATATACATTTTTGAAAAATAAAAAGTAGCCATGTTAGTATTACTAAACAAGGTATTACCATGGAAGGGGGGATGGACTGTAGTCTGTTCTCTCTTGTTTACTCAATAGAGATTCTGTTTGTTCATATCCCATGGAAACAAAATTAGAGTCCTTATTTATTGTCCCTTGTTATCTGCATTCTGATCAGACATTTAATCAAAGCTTATCAGTTACACGGTTCTGTATGAACAAAATATTACATTAAATGTGGATTCTAGCAGCACAGAGCTTTCTGTCTGTACGTATCTCTCTCTCTGTCTCTTGATTTACAAAATATTTGTGTTTACAAGATATGATGTTATAAATCAATTCATCAAAGTAGTTAAAAATATTGTTACTTTATTTAGATCATTTTTGAAGCCATAATATTTTGGTATATACAGTTTATTCATTTGAAATTCTGACTTTTCATGTGATTTTCTGATGCTTAAGGCCATTCCAAAATGGATTTCAAAATAGTTTTTAATTTAATTGGAATAAATATACAGTCCCTTAAAGAGAGCCACTTTGAAGGCTAATAGTAATTTTACATTTGTGAGTTCTGACAGAATTCTTATAAATTTCAGATGTATCTTCTATTAAAAAAAAATGTATCGGGCCGGCCCGGTGGCGCACTGCTATAGTGCGCTGCTTGGGAAGCGCGGCGGTGCTCCCGCCGAGGGTTCGGATCCCACATACAGACCGGCCGCTCACTGGCTGAGCGAGGGGCGGGAGCAACACCGAGGGTTGCGATCCCGTGGCCGGTCCCGGTCCGGTACGGGCGCGACACTGAGGGTTGTGATCCGTTGCCGGTCACGAAAAAAGACAAAAAGGATAAAAAAAATAATAAAAAAAATTTTTTTAAATGTATGTATGAAATGCAATTTGTGTTCAACCTTAATAATATATGTTTAATTG